ATATCGGTTGCCTCTTGATTACCGCCAGGCGCCTTACCGAGAATATCACGCCCCTGCAGGACCTCGAAGGTAAACGTGATGCGGCGCTACGTATTCTAATGGGAGTTACCGAGAGGCTTGAGGGTTTGCAGAAGTTCTTGGATGACCCGATCAACTCCTCGGTTACCGATATTCCGCCGGTGCCGCCGCCGTTACCTTGGTCGCCCCCGACGGCAGCGCCCGCCAAGGCGCCACCCGTTGCCGCCACCGCGGCAGCCGGGCCCATGGCCACGGGCGCGCCCCCAGCGCAGCAGGTTAACGTGGCTCCGCCAGGCAAGGCTCCCCCTACTCAGGACCTGGCCGGCGTGACCGCTAAAGCCGGGGGGGGTCGGCGGTCCGTGTCACCGAACAAGATTCGAGCGTCACCGTTGAGCCAGCAGGGCGGTGAAGAGCCACAGCCTGCTTACAAGCGGGCGCCGAAGGCCATGCGTGAACGTCAACGGGAGCTGGAGGAGTTGAGGCAGATAGGCATCAAGATGGACGAGGATCGAACGGTTGGTGGTCAACGTGATGAGGCGCCAAAGGATCCTGCTCCCGTCGTAAACGCGAGGCCGGCCAAGCCGCCCCCTCCGGGGTTCGGCGAGTCCGGAGCAGCAAGCAGCGCTACCGGCGCGAAGCCCCCGCCTCCAGAGCCCAAGAGGTTACCGCTCCGGCACATCCCGCCGCCGCAGCCTCAGGTCGTTAACCGCGCGATTGATCAGGTTGAGAGGCACTTCAGGATCGTCGCCAAGGACACCACTTACCGCCCGCTGTGCCACGTCAACGGTCGCATGTCCATGCTGAACAACAGGAGCGACGACTACGACGTTAACTTTCGGGCGGAACCTGATCCCAGGGATGTGGTAGCCTTAACGATGAAGACACGTGATAACTGGCGCAAGTTTGAGGGTAACTTCGTCGGGCACGTGGCGAAGGTGGGGTTAACGACCCCTGGCGGCAGGGCCATTCAGGGCAACACCAGGCGGGAGCTTAACGATTACGAGGACGTGTTCGTTGACATCTTCGGCCAACACGCTTGCGGTTTCATCGGCTATGCCGTGTTGAAAGGTCCGATCAGCTGGAGGTCTCAGTTAACGGACAAAGAGTTGGCCAAGCATGATGAATGGGTTGACGCGGTTGGGCACGTGCAGTCCCTACTTGACGATGACTACGTGCCACCGCTCCAACTTAAAGAGCTTCACCCATCGTGGTTTGAGCACCACAGTTGCCCGGACACGCAAGTGTACGTCAACAAGGTGCCGGAGATGAACGAGAAGCAGCTTAACGGCCTCCTCTGAACGTGGGCAGGAATGCTGCCCCACGGCAACCCCGCCGTCATCTCCGTTAAGCACCTGGTGGAGGACACCCATGGGCCGCACGGTTACATCTCGACTGGAGTTACCGTGATTCGCTTTGCGACGCCCGATCTTGCCAGGCTTTACTGCCGTTACATGAACGGGCTCCAGGTGCATTACCGTAACTACTACATCGACGACCTCGAGGTCAGGAGCACCGCGGAGTTAAAGGGCAGGATGAGCAAGCCTCCAGTATACTGGCACCAGACCGTCTTGGAAGTTGCCCTTAACGATCAGGGATCCATGAGGGCACTTTACCGTGATAATTGGCCGGCCGATCATGTCACCGAGCGTAAAAGCGATCACCGTGAGAAGCTTTGCTGGTTTGGCTGGTTACCGTGCGACGACTTCCCCAACTGGCTCACCGATCCGGCCTGGACTGTGAACCTGTTTACCGGCGCTGCGGTCGAAGAGCACCTCCGTAACAATCCAGGCGATGGGCCTCTGTTAAAGGCTCCCCACGCCAGTTACTGGAGAGCCATCGGCACTTACCACAACATCGTTGACGGCTCAATGAAGAGCCACGATGAGGGGTGCTGGCTTGACGACGAGGAGCGCATGAACGCGTACATGGACGACGATTACTACAACCAGATGCAGGCCCTTAACAGGGTGTCGTCCTACACCGCAGCCGGTGTGGGCCATCGCGGGTTACCGAGGTCGAGGGGTTCACGGGCCCCATCGGCGAGGCGCCCGCGCCGTCCGTGAAAGATGGCAGGCAGTTAACATGCTGCAGTTCACGCTCTTCCTCATCTCCCCTCTTAACTTGGCTTAACGATCGAGCGGCAGCAGCCTGTTGAGCTGAGTTTGTTTGCATGCGCATCTCTTGTTGTTACCGCAGGTATTGGCGTATAAAAAACGAAAGCAGCCAAAATCATCCAAATGCTAGCTTGCTGTGTAAACTTTAGATGCTTCGTTTGAACTTGTGACAGTAAAAGTGTTTACTCGAGCTCAGGTTACATGTGTGAGAAACTTGGTGCTCGTAGACGCCGTCACGAGACATTTCGAATTCAACAGTGTGATGAAGAGACTTGAGGCTTAACGTCATTTGCGTGCGACGTTTTGTCTAGCTTGACCTGTTTTCGTGATTGTTGACGCCTCCCCGTCAGCCTATACGGACTAGCGTCCGAGGGGGGGGGTGTTAACATGTGAGCATTCAGGTGACTGGGGAGTGAAGGTGTCCCCGTTACCGTTTGGCTCAAGTATTTAACGGCTGAAGCTACCGAGACTAGCTTCGCCGTGCTGAGGGAAAAAGGTGACCGATCGTCATCGCTGTCACCGAGCTCCCGTGCAGAACCCTCCTCGGGGTTTTGCAGGAGGAGGAGGAGGAGGAGGAGGAGGAGGAGGAGGAGGAGGAGGAGGAGGAGGAGGAGGAGGAGGAGGAGGAGGAGGAGGAGGAGGAGAGGAGGAGGAGGAGGAGGAGGAGGTGGGGCGGCGCGATGGCGCCGGGCCTCGAGGGCGCGAAGATAAGCGCGGGTCTCGCACCGCGGGGCGCCGTGTGCGAAGCCGTGCGGCGCAGCCGAGAGCGGGGAGTCGCCGGAGTCGCCCTGGCTTCTGGCGGAGAGTGGAGGCGCCCTCGCTCTTGGCCCGCAGCACACGGTCTGGACTCTTGGCTGGGCGTGTCGCTCCGCCAGTTCTGGCCCACCGCGGCGCGGCGCGACACGCTGTCCGCATCCTGGCCCCCAGGCGTTGATGTTTGGTTGTTGCTCCCAGCCTCCCGCCCCGCGGGGCGGAGCGACACGCGGTCCACTCGCAGAAGGCACGGCGTGCCGCCGGGGCCGCCGCCGCGACACACCGAGCACGAGCTCCCGACCGTGCGCAGGAGCTTCGGGAGATCCGCGCGGGCCTCCAGAAGTCTGTTCGGCGTTACTCCAACATACTTATGCTATACGTTCGTCGCCCCCCCAGGGGCGACGCGCGCACCGAGAAGTCTTATCAGAGTGAGGGGGCCGAACGGTCATTCATTGTCCCTGGGTGCGTGGCTGAAGTGAGATTCCGCGGTGCGGATTCGTGTTGTTGTTGTTTGTTGTTGTTGTTGTTTGTTGTCGTCGTCCCACCTGCAACCCGCCCCGCGACCCACCCGCGACCCACCCCGCGACCCACCCGCGACCCACCCGCGACCCACCCGCGACCCACCCGCGACCCACCCCGCGACCCACCCCGCGACCCACCCCGCGACCCACCCTGCGACCCACCCTGCGACCCACCCGCGACCCACCCGCGACCCACCCCGCGACCCACCCCGCGGCCCACCCCGCGACCCACCCGCGACCCACCCGCGACCCACCCCGCGACCCGCCCGCGGCCCACCCCGCGACCCACCCGCGACCCGCCCGCGACCCACCCGCGACCCACCCGCGACCCACCCGTGACTCACACCGCGACCCACCCGCGACCCACCTTCGACCCAAACCACGTTCAAGGTACAAACCAACATTTTCGGCGCCTGCGGCGGGGTTTTTTTGCATTCCTTCCAGGTGGAGAGCCCGCGACCCACCCCGCGATCAACTCGCGACCAACCCGCGACCCAAACCACGTTCAGGGTACAAACCACATTTTTCGGCGCCTGCGGCGGGCATCTTTTGAATCGTTCTAGGTGGAGAGACCGCGGCCCACCCGCGACCACGTTCAGGGTACAAACCAATTTTTTCGGCGCCTGCGGCGAGCATTTTTTGCATTCGTTCCCGGTGGAGAACCCGCGGCCCACCCGCGACCCAAACCACGTTCAGTGTACAAACCAATTTTTTCGGCGCCTGCGGCGGGCTGCTTTTGCAGGAGGACGAGGAGAGGGGAGGAGGAGGAGGAGGAGGAGGAGGAGGAGCAGCAGGAGAAGGAGGAGGAGCAGCAGGAGGAGGAGGAGGAGGGAGGGGACGACGACGATGACGTCGACGACGACGACGAAAAGGAGGAGGGTGGAGGATCGGGAGGGGGGGAAGAGGAGGAGGACGACGAGGAGGAACATGACGACAATGGGAGGACGATGATGGAAGGACGAGGGGGGGAGAGGGAGGACGAGGAAGAAGCGGAGGAGGAGGAGGAGGAGGACGAGGTGGAGGAGGAGGACGACGATGACGATGAGAACGAGGACGAGGAAGAGGAAGAGGAGGAGGAGTAGGAGGCGGAGGAGGAGGAAGAGGAGGAGGAGGAGGAGGAGGAGGAGGAGGAGGAGGAGGAGAGCGCCATCGACAAGGAAGGTGGGGGCCACGAGGTCCGCCGGCTTGACGACGCCCGCGTCGCCCGCGCCCGCCCCCTCACTCTTATCCGCAATTGCGGGGTGCTATATATTATATGTGTATCGCGGCGGGCGCCTTCTGGCCACACCGCTCGGGAAGCGATCTACTACAAGAGGGGTATACGATATGTTTGGGTCGGGCGCGCGCCTTCAGGGAGGACATATACAGTTGGCCCAGACTAGTAGGTAGACCCTGCCAAATCAAGGGTACCTTTGTGTCCCGTGTCTCGCGGCCCGTGCCTCCTGCACTGCTGTGGGCAATGTGGCCCCCGGAAGGGTCTTTTGCCCTCTCGCATGTCCTGTCCAATGAAGTACGACTGTAGCATTCGTATGTCTCCGTGCATCCAGTCTGCGCTCGTGCCGAGCTCCCTCCCTCCGCCCGTCGTCGGCGGCAGCCGCCGGTCCCTCGGCGTGGCCCGGGCGCGGCTCGAGGGGGCGGGCCGGGCCCTGGTGCTGGACGTCGGCACCAGCTCGCCGCCGAACGCGACGCGCGCGGGCGAGGGCCGCGGCGAGGCCGCCCAGGGTCGGCGGCACCGCGCCCAGACTTACAGTCGACCCGCATACCCAGACATCGGGCGTCTCGGAAAAATCGAGACACAGGTTTTTCATAGTTTGTGGCCTCTCGGGGCCTTCGCCGGGCCTCGGGACCGCCAACAAAAGCGACTCGGGATGAAAAACCGGTCCCAGGGAAGTGGTCGGGAGGTCGGGGGCCCGCGTCTCGAAAAAAAATTCGAGACGTCGGATGTCTGGGTAGCAAGGATGGGCAGCCTTCCCAGGGGTACCCTTGCATCCCTGCCTCCTCGGTCCATCCTCGGCCACTTCCGTGGGTGTCGACTACAATGGGGAGGGATTCGTTCGAGGTATCAGTTTCGTTCCTCGGTCTTCTTCGCAGTGCCAGGAGGGTGTCAGGGCTCATGTTCTCCACTTACGCCGTGTTCTTCTTCGCCTGAACCGGCAGGGGAGGCTTGTCTTTCCGTCGCTTCGCGACTGTTCCGCTCCGCTCCGCTCCTCGGCCACTTCCGTGGGCCGCGCCCCGGTCGGGAAGCTTCGCAATGGGTTCTCAATGCCCTCTGCATCCTTACCGCGCATCCTTACTATACGGGTTGACTGCATGATGTTCCAGCCTACTTTGGCCTTGACCACCAGAGAGAACTTCGAGCACCCCAAAAAATACCGAAGCTCGAGGGTTTTCACGTGTCGGGCCCTGGGAGGCACTCGTCCGACGCTGCTTCGACACTCTTTCGACACTCTTCCGGGTGCTCGAAATTATTTCTGGGGTGCGGTCCTTGAGTACGATGGGGGCAACATAAGCCCAGACCCCCCGTCGGGTCCTGAAGCCTCCGAGCGGGAAGGTTTTCGCCAGTTTCGGCTTGTGGGGGGCCCTTATACCAGCCCTCGGGACCGTCAGAACATGAGATTCGCCGGTGGAGGAGACCCGGTCCCAGGGGATGGGTCCAGACCGCTGGGGGTGCACCTCTTGAACAATCACGGCGTCGGGGGTCTGGGTAACGTGTGCCCACTGACGGGTACTTTGGAATCACGCCGATCGTCGTCACTTCAGGGCCTCACTCGGGCAATGCAGCACTGCTTGCATCCGGGGAAGGATTGGGTTGGCCGGGTCGCCGGCCACGGTGCCCGTGGAGTACCCGTCAGGGGGGAAGCCCCCTGTCAACGACAGGGCGGGACCTTCCCAGGGGGGGGGCCCTGTTTCCGGATCCGCCCTACTTTGGGGAAATTCGTCAGTAGGGCCTGGAATTTCCGCCTTACTTTTCAAGCCCCGCTGATGCCAAGTTCCGCCCTACTTTTCTGTTGCTGTTTCCGCCCTACCTCTGTGGATTTCCGCCCTATTTTCTGTTGGGTGCAGGAGTTTCCGCCCTACTTCTTCGGCTTCTGATCGGTGGATTTCCGACGCAATTGTAAGTTGGAGAAGAAGCCAAAGTAGGGCGGATCTGGAGTCAGTCGGAGGGCACCAACTATACACCAACACCGATCCTGGCCGGGATCGGTGTTGGTGTATAGTTGGTGCCTTCCTAGTCAGGAGGGGGGGCATTTGACCCCCAGTCGCCCGTTCGTCGCCCAGTGGGCGATGAGCGGGCCCCACCGTGGGCCCCCTGGCGCCGACGCGTCGGCGAAGCACCGCCGACTCCGAGCCAACCCAGGCATCCGCCGACACGTTTTTTTCGATCCGCGGCCTCAGAGTTCTCGACCCCGCACCCGGGGGACCCGCTTCTGATGGGCAGGGCCTGCCCTGAGTCCAGATCCGCCCTACTTTGGCTTTTCTCCCAACTTAAAGTTGCGTCGGAAATCCACCGATAAGAAGCCGAAGAAGTAGGGCGGAAACTTCTGCACCCAACATGAAATAGGGCGGAAATCCACAGAAGCAGGGCGGAAACAGCAACAGAAAAGCAGGGCGGAAACTGGCATCAGCGGGGCCTGAAAAGTGAGGCGGAAATTCCAGGCCCTGCTTACGACTTTCCCCAAGAAGTAGGGCGGATCCGGAGTCAGGGTGATGGCAGACCCCGGAGGCCGAAGACGGGGGCTCTGGCCGCACCGCGAGCCTTTTCGAAGCCTCCCACCCTTCGGGAGCGTGGCTCACCTCGCGGGGCACAGCGTGCCGACGGGACCGCCGCCGCGGCGCGGCAAAATGATCCCCCGCGTGCGTGGGCCCACCAGTTTTTCGGGTCCTGGCGCGGCGCTCCAGCGGCCGCCTCGGGGCGGCCAGGGCATCCCTGGAGCGCTGTCGGCGGGGCGCAGCTGCTGAAGCGCATCCCGAGGCAAGAAGCTCGCCGAGAACCGACGATAACTCCTCAAAAAAAACCTGGAGCCTCGCCCCCGGCGAGGGAAAGCCCGACCGTAGACACACCAAGCACGAGCTCCTGACCGCATCCACCCCCCCTTGAAAAGAGAACAAACGCCAACACGCCATAAACATAAGCTTTTGGCGCTCCGCGCGAATTTCTTGGATCCGCGCTGGGCCCCCACCCACCCCCCGCGGCGCCTCTAGCGCCGCCCCTGGCACGCTCCGCGCGCCAGGGAGGGGGGCCCAGCGCAGATCCAAGAAAAACCCGCGCGGAGCGCCAAACGTTTATGCTAATTGCGTTTTTTCTTCTTCCCCATCCCCCTCACGCGCTGTCAATGCTCTGCTCTCCTAGGGCTTTGCCGCGTCGTCCGCACCTTGCTTCTGCATGCCCGAGCTCCGTATAGCTGCCCGCACGTCCTCCTGTGCTCGGCTGCGTCCTTGCTCCCATGGACACATGCGAAGGCCTGAGGAAAGCTCGAGAGGTCCCTTCCAATGTGTGTCCCCCCCCTCCTC